CTTGAGCCCCTGGGCAAGTAATTTCTTTCTGCCAGGTCTTTGTTGATGTCTCTGAGAAAGAAGGATGCCAAATAGTGCCCTTTTAAAGTATTTTGTGAGTACAGAGATGAAAATCTAAGCACACACATCCACACACTTGAGAGATGAGAAGGAAGGCCTGAGATTTGTAATTTTATTCTTGGATTTACAGATCATACATGGAAAAAGATTTATTAGCAGTGTTACTGTGGTGGGGTGTAAGGAACTCTCTTTGACTCAGCCAGTTCTCAGGTGTTTTGAAAGGTTTTTTTGACTGGATGCTACCCAGAAGAAAAATGGTGGCAAATGTGCTAGAAGAGGAAAATCAGCTTTAAGCAGTCTTAGAATGGTGAGTAATAACAGTAGGAAACTACAGAAGGATAATTGATCATTTATCAGTAAGCAGTCACTTGGCCATGTGAGAGTTAATCTGTAAAAAATGGACCACAAAAAGCTGTCTTTCATTTAACATCTCTAAGCTTTTATTTTAACATGTCATGTAATCATTTTGGCCTCTTGAGAATCCACTTTAGGAAGTGGCTCTAAATGGAAGGTTAAATCCTTTGAAAAATATAAATTATCTGCTCTTTCCTGCCCCTTCCTCCTTCTTTCCCTTTCCATTTACATATGCATCCCATATTTCCTACATCTTTGAACTACAGGCAGCAGCTGAATGAAGTACATCTTGAGTGTATATGAGGAGAGAGGAGGGGAAAATAATCCATAAATGTAGAGATTAAGGGATAGCTACAACTTCTTCAACAGGTATGCCTCTTGTAAGTAGAATATATTCTAAATTCTGTGTACTGCATACAGTAGTATGCAGTAGTTAAAAATAAAAGCCAAAAAACCAACTAAACCCTAACACTGCTGCATGATGCTTTCTGTCAATTTCTTAGCCTCTTCATTCACATTGAAGTCAGCAGTTTGCATATACTTTTTAAAAAAAAAAAAAAGCCTTAATCATAGAAATGTCTTGGTTTTACTTTGTAACCTACACAAAATGCTGTGTAAAAAATACAGAATTCCACTGTTCCTTTGATCATTTGATGCCCTGTGGGTGAGCAGCTTGTCACATTTCAGCCTCTCTCAAAAGCAAGTAAACAAGCTCATTTCTATAGTTATGATGGTCTCATGACAGAAGCAGGACAATGTTTGGCAGGTGTGCTGGTGTCCTGTGTTAGGCCAGCTGATGTGTGTGCAGCCCAGAGGAGAAACAAGCTGAGAGGCACACAAGGCCTTTCTTAGACTGAAGGAAAAGCACCAAACCTTGTTAAACTGTGTTTTGGGATAATTTACAAAGCCTACATGGGCTTTTGGTGAACTTGCTAACCATGATTTTTGCCTTACAACACTTATAAAAGGAGCCGTTTTTCTTCTGAATTAGGTATTTGCTCTGCAAGCAGTGTTTAGTGACTAAGTGCTAGTATATTTATAAAATATATTATTAAACCATATTTATATTAATAGCATATTTTATATATTTGAGTGAATCTTTCATTTTAAAAAATATTTGCTCAAATATCTTCCCAGAATTAAATAACTACGAAATATTTAAATCGTATTTGGCTATTTTTTTTTACTTCTTAAACTAAAAACAGTTGGCTTCTAGCACAGAAAAACCAGTGTTTGATAATGTATGACTGATAATAACATCAGTTATGTGACAGATAAATAACTGGTACCTTTAATTTTCCTGTGACATAAAGTGGTTGTGAGTGATTATGAGAAATAGTTTGAGTGATTATGAGAAATAGTTTGTAGCATGCATTTCTATAAAAGAAACCACAAAATTTTCAAGCAAAAATGCCCAAATAGGTAAAAAAAAAAGATAAAACTTGCATAAGTACATATTTGCACATGTACACTCTCTCTTTTAGAGATTGCTCTTTGGAAAGCTGTTGCTGAGAAAGCTCTTCCTTCCACATATAACACAAATAGCACCATATTCTGTACTTCAGTGGGGCAGTGCACAGCTTTCTTTGCAGTGACAAATACTGAAATGTTAAAAATAGATCAAGCTTTGAGAATCCCAGATATTTTCAAATAACAAAGGATGATTTATGTGAGCTCATTTTGCACTTTGACAAAGTATAGAGGCGCTTTTGTACTATGATTAGCAAGGGTGCTGATGTCAGTTTGCTTGTCTAGCTTTAAGCTTTATTCTGCTGCTAAATTGTGCTTTGTACTGTACTGCAGAGAACCTTTGTATCTGCCTTATTAGTGTGTAGTTTATGGAATTGCTTTTGTTTTTGAATATAATCTGTGCCAGTTTCAGACTGTGACTCACTATTGGACTGAAATAAATGTTCACATATGCACTATGTGAAAACTCTTCAAAAATAGTAGCAGGTGCTAGCAGGCTAAATTCAGTGTTTTAAATATTTAAGACGTGCTGTTTTGTAGCCTGAAGGGCTGAAAGGAAATTCTTTTAGCTCAATGTTTTTTCTCAGTTTTAGAGTCCTATTGACTCATTAATACTCAACAGAAAATGTCAGGATTGCTAAGAACCTTTTTTTCCCTAACACAGTACTAAAAATAAATTTTTAGTAGAGGCATGCCTGGTTGATACACAGTTGACAGAGTTTTTTTGCGTGGCATTTTATTGGTGCACAAACTGTGAGACAAAATGCATCTTACTTCTCAATTGCGCTTGTTCCTCTCCTATCTCTAATCTCTTTCCTCCTGATTTCTGCTTTGAAAATTTAATCTGAGTGACTGAAGGCTGAGGTTAAAGATAAAGCAGTTTCTGAAGCAGTTTGTAGCAGTTATCTGTGATCAGCCTTGCCTGGAGAAAGGCTCATCTACTGAATTTTCATGTTATCCCAACATCTAAGTTGTCACTTGATTTGGAAGCAGGAAACAAAACAAACTCTGCTAATGTTTTTGGGTCGCTGTTAAATGCTGCTTATCCAGCTGTGCTGCTAGGATATACTCACATTTGAAATCTAAATTGAAGGGGTTTATTCTGTTGCATCTTCTACATTTTAACTGTTCACCAGTTAACCTTACTGCTACCATGGAAATAGTTGCTTGAGACTTTGACTTGATTCACAGTTCGCTTACAGTTCAGCATTTAAAAACAGATGCTGTTATTCAGAACTGCAGTAAATACAATTGTTTTGTAAAGTATAGACATTATCTTTAAATTAAAAAAAAAAAACGTTTCGAGGTTTGCTAGTTGGAGAATGGATCACAAGCCTCAATTAAGCTGTCTGTCCTTTTTCCCTTTCTCCTTTCTGTATTATCTTTTCATAGTAGCTTTCTGAGCTTGGTACCCCGAACAGGCATGCACAGTGGGGGTTTTATGAGTCTTTGGGGCAAAGCCCACAGCACTTGTTCAGAGTGGGGAGATGGCAGTGCAGTTCTTCCTCCTTGTCCCTTATGTCCCCCTTCCACTAGTTTGTTTAAAGGTAGCACCTACAAAAAACCAAATGAATGCACTCTTGTGCCCCACAAAAATGGCTCTGAATCTTTCCCTAATACACAGTGAAAAACGCTTGTTTTCAGAGCTGCTGTCCCAGTGTTTAAAGGACATCATACATCTTGATGCCTTCTGGGACCATCCTTTCTGATTCTGTTCCTTTCCTTGGTTAGCTCACAGCCAGGGCTGGCTGAAAGGAAAATGCCCTCACCCTCATTATGCATTTCTTCTGCTGTTTTTTTTCCTGTTTTTTTTTTTTTTTTAAATCTTTCAAAGGACTTGCTGACAACCTTGTTTGAATATCCTAAAGAAGTTTAAAGTGGGGTGACTTGGGGCACGGTGTGAGTCTGTGGTGTAATGCACAGTTCTTGGCCACTGCACTGATTTACCTTGGTCTCCAACTTTGCTGAAAAATATAAGAACAAATGGGTGACACAGGGGTGGCTCCCCACTAGATCTGGGCTCTGCTTTCAGACTTCTCTGTGCAGCTCTCCTAGTGAGCAATGGGAGTGTGTCTGGTTTCTTCTGCTGTGCCCGTTATCCTGGCACTGGGGTATAAAAAGAAGCTGCTAGCATAGTATTGCTGGTAGAGCTGAGGAACAAAAGTGCAGCCAAGTGAGGCAATGAAGATGCTGTTAGAAGCAGGGGACAGCTGTATGCTGAGCTTGGTTGTGTAGTTTTAGTTAAGGTCTTTGATGAGAATTATGGCAGGTGACAGAGGCCCATGGGATGAAAGGCAGCTAAGGATTAGTTAGAGAATGCAACATTTTGCATTTGCTTTTCTCTTAGACCAGCTTCTTTCTGCAACATCAGGAGGGCTGTTATAATAGGCACAGTGTCAGACTATCAAATTGATTTGTTCTGTATCTTCCCCAAAGACTGGGCTTATGTGGTAAAAGTACAACATTTGGTCATTCTCTCCATCCCTATCTCTCTAACAGTTTCCAAAAATAATAATGTTGCTCTTTTTCTGTAGGAGGTACTAATGTAGAAATATGATGAGGTTCTGAGTGCAGAGTTCCCCTGGCATCGAGGTGCATGTACAGTGTCTGTTCCTTAAATGCAGATCACTATCGCTGAGTATCAGTGAAAAATTCAGTTAAAGTGCATCAGCCTGAAATAACAGATACTGTAAACAAAACATCATGGAACACTTAAAGATGTATTTTATTTTGTCTTTCTCATGCCTATGACAGCTTCCTTCTGAAGCCCTTTTTGTGTGCTTTTTTGCCCCTTTCCTGATCCCCACCCCACTTTTTTCTTTAGTGTATTCATGCTTTCTCATTTTGTAAGCAGTGATTTAATTTATATATCCACTTGTTGCAAACAAAGCCAAGATATAAAATTTAAAATACAAATTCACTAATCCTCAAGTCCACTGCTTTAACAATACCTAAATAGTGTTAAATGTGGGTATTTGGTGTGTAATCTCTTAGTATAATAATTGAACTACTTACTAGTACTTGGTTCAACCCAGGCTGGAGCCACACATAAAAGGTCTTAAAGTGTGATTTCTTCCTTCTAATTTTTCTTCCTTTTCTTTCTCCCCAATTTCCAGGCATGGAAGAGAAGGTGGTTTGTGCTTCGGAGCGGCCGCTTAACGGGGGATCCAGATGTATTAGAATACTATAAAAATGACCATGCCAAGAAGCCTATCCGTATTATTGACTTAAATCTGTGTCAACAAGTGGATGCTGGATTAACGTTCAACAAAAAGGAGTTTGAAAACAGCTATATTTTTGATATCAACACTATAGACCGAGTTTTCTATTTGGTAGCGGAAAGCGAGGAGGAGATGAATAAGTGGGTTCGATGTATCTGTGATATCTGTGGGTTCAACCCTACAGATGAGGGTAAGTTCTGTTACTTTTTTTGAAAAAGTGCAGTGCCTATGTGTGAGGAACGTTTCAAAGATCAGATGACTATCTTTAGCTGGCATATGTTTTAAAACTTGTGTGTATTGGCATTGAAACTTCCTTGTTATCCTCAAAAAAAGTAAGCAGAACAGAGGGAGATATTCAGAATTTGTTACAAATTAAGTATGCCATCGAACTTGGATGACGCTCTTCTGTTCTGCGTGATGTTAGGTCTTGGGAGTGCAAGAAAAATCTCAAAGTACAATCATGTACAGCAGTAGATCTTCATAATCACCAAAGGAGTCCCATTTGGTATAAAAACATATGGTTATGCAAGCAGGAATGAGTGCAAAATGTCAGGTTTCTAATATTACCATTTCTCCCTCTGCTTCGAGACTCGGGGGGAAAAGAAATCCACCCCCATCAGCTAAAACAAACAAAAAATAACCTGTAGCTTTGCACTATTCAACTCAAATCCTACCAAAATAGATAGTCTATGAAGGCAGCTTGTAGGAAGCATGATGGTGTGTTTAATTCCTTGGAAATACCTCGTGGTCATTGCTTGTCCTCAATCCATTCTTTTTTATTTACTTGTATTCCTGCATTCCTTTTGGAGATTAGTGGGTTACATGACTTGCTGTAGCTGGGTGCACAGTTCCAAGAAAAGATTAAATAGGAGTGGTAAGAAGGTTATACACAAGGCATGCCTGACTGAAGGGGCTAGAATTAAATTCCTGCTTTTTGTAGGATTGTGGATTGAGGGAGGTGAGGGGGGGAAAAGGGATTTGCATCACTTTGCTCCAGCCAAATCTTCAAAGTGACTGGAAAATACTGTTGTGTTATGAAGAAGGAGCCCTTTTCTTTCTCCTTATTGCAGTTTTGAACTACAACTTTGTCATGAAAACTTCATCTATGAATTGCCGCTCTAATAGCAAATTCAGGGAAGTTTGCTTCTTTTGACAGTTCCAGCATGTTTTTGTGGCATCCTGAGCATACCCAGGATCCGCAGCACATCTCAGGGAGCAGCTGCCATGGGATTCAGTGCTCAGCCTGCCAGGCATTCCTGCATTCCAGAGAGGTGTGGGCAGGGGGCAATGTACCTGCTATGGGCAGAAGTGCTTCGTTCTGGGGATAAACTAGAAATCTGGGATCTAAGGAGGAAATGTGTTCACCTGGCAGCTCTTTGGCAGAGCACAAAGGAACACGTGTCCATTGCATGGAACAGAGAGGTGGGGTCCCCTCAAAACCATCAGACCTTTCATCTGAGACCTGGTGTATTGTTAGCCTTAGTTTTCTGTCATTGAACTAAAGATGAAACCTGCTATGTATGTGGAGAGATGTAACTAAGCCCTCACAAACTGAGTTTTTGCTTCAGTCAATTGTATCAATAACTTCTCCCCATTGTACTCTCATTGCATGTTTCATCTTTGGCATTTTAGCTTTGGCTGAATTATTCCAACACCTTTACTTCACATGCCTGAGAGTTGATAGTACTGTCTTTTTATCAGTTTAGTGATGCCTTGCAGTGCATTGAGGAAGAATTAATAAAAGGAAAATGGGAAAATCAGTTGCTGAGTGTTTATTGCCAAATTCTTCTTTTTCTAAGATGAATCTTCCTGCCAATGGAAGAGCAGGTCGTAAATGTACTTTAAAAAATATCTGTGTTCACCTGCAGCTTATTTTGGGAAGTTAAAGGACAGGTGAAGTTCAGATAGTAAAAACACATTATTATCTTAATTTGGAGCTAAACAAAAGGAGTATGTGGCATAACCAATCTTTCTATTACCTGTGGAAGAAGAAGATAGTTTTCTTTGAAGCTGGAAAAAATGTCTCTTGCCAGACTAATTAAGGGCTGTTGTGAGTGTCCTCTTTGGCATCCATTGCTCAGTCAAGAACTGGGAACACCACTGCCCTGCTGCTGCTTCTGGGGTTCATTTGGAAATCCAGGAACATTGCCTCCTTGGATTTATAAAGAAAAAATTTGCAAGACAGCAGTGGCTAGTGCTATTAGAAAAAAATTAGGGAGTTGTTGTTTTGGTGTTGAGATGAATGAGGGAGAAAGAGTTGCTTGTAACTGTAGACAGACCAGAAAAATAATGCTCAGAGTAACTCTGAGCTGCTCCTTTCATACATAGCAAAGACTCAGCGATTCCTGTAATGTAAACTTTGGTCTTTTTTTCATTAGAAATTATTTTGAGTACTCATTTTTACCTAATACTTTGTTTTGACCTTCCAACTAGAAACTGATTTATGCATGTGAAATCTCTACATTGTGGAGATCTGCAATGTTACATTTGTATTTGGACAAAGTAGATAATTTATGTTCTTCAATCATATTTACAAGCATTGAGTGTTCACATTTCTGGTTGCATCATAGTCTAGTGTAATCTGTAATGATTGCATGACAATTACAAATATATGCAATGTTTGGCTTTTTATAGGGACTTTCTTTTAAGAAAGGTTTCTCAGCAATTTAGGTATTTTAAAATTAAACAAGACAGAAACAGGAAGGAATTTTTATTTTAAATAAGGTAAATAATTATTTTACTTATAAAAGGAAAATTCTGGGTAGTTTTTATGTTTTCTTCAGCTAATGCTTCTTGTTTTCAAATGTAAGCTATAAAACATTCCTTTCTGTAGCATCTTTCTGTTTAAAACACATGTGCAAAGTAGAGGGGCACCAATGCATGAGCATTGGGTTTGAGTTTGCCACTGGGTTTCAGACTGTGCTTTTAGCATTCATGTTTTCTCTGAAAGATCATGATATATAAGTTCATCTAGAGATTGAAATGGAACTATAAGGCAAAAATGCGGCACTAGTGTTTCACTTTGAACTGTACTGAGAGACAATCTGTAATGGAGAGACTGAATGGACCTGATTGGTAATGGCTATTTTGTGCCTTCTGCTGTGGAGACATCCCCTGAAATACTTTCAGCAGGGTGAGGGTAAATGCTTAAAGAAAGGTAAAAATAAAGGAAATGGGTTTTTTTTTAAAGTGATTGATAAGAAGAAAGGTTGAAGGATTTTTTTTTTTTTTTTGACCTGAGAAGAAAATACTGAGGGAAGAACTGACTTTCAAAAAAACAGCTGTGATAAGCAGGACATGGATCTGCTCTTACCTGAGGAGAGAACTTGTTTTGAGTGATGTAACAATAAAGAAAACCCTTTGAAGGATATCTAAGCACAGTCCTTCCCTAGAAGGCATCTCTGATTAATGTTTTATATGTGATCCAGCTCCATGTTTCTGTAATTTAGTGAATTGTGTTCTTGGCAGAGCAAGGAAAGGAGGAAATTATCTTACTAAATGCAAACATGTTACTTGCATGTATTCATTTGAATAAAGATAGCAGTAGCAAAATAAACCAGAAGAAATAACAAGGTAGAGAAGACAAAAAAAGGGAAGAACAAGACATTGAAATGTACAATTACATTTACATAAATAATAAAATGTGAAAAAAGTTTCTGTCATCTTAAGGACCGTGCATTGAAGGAGCTGCAGCTTGCTTCACACATGATGCTTTCAAAGTTTCTTTTCAGGCTGCAGCTATCTGGTATATGTCTTAATTCCTTTTTGCTTTTGGAACAATAAAATTTTATATTTGCTTTTTTAAAATGATGTTCTGATAATCCGTGCACTGCAGGTTGAGCACAGCTTCAGTGCAATATCAGAGACTGACAGAATGAACATAACTTCACCTTCCCATCCTGACTCCTTGTCTTTGATAAATAAATAGGGGTATTGGAGGTATTTAGGGTGCCCTTCCTGCATGAAGGGTTTGTCTGTAAGAAATAAAAAACATTCTTCTTTGACAGCTTTAACAAGTTCATTACAGAGCCTAGCACACATGGCAAAGCAAAATTGCCATCCCAATAGCGTATGTTGAATATTCAAGACCTTGGTCATTAAAGGGCTCAAAAGTGAGGAGAAACAGCTGAGCTTCTAGATGAAGGAAGGCTCAGAAAGAGCATAAAGGGAAGTGCAAGACAAAGTAATAAGCTTAAAAAAAATTGCAACAAATTTGCTCTATGGAGATGATGTACTTAATGAAAAGTTGAGGCATTTTTCTATCTCTCAGATATGATTAGCTAGAAAGAATTGTTGGCTCAAAGGTGACGTGAAGTGCCGTAAAAAATAACAAAGGAACCAAGTTAAGCATTAGGAGAGAAATCCTCCAGAGAAGGGTCATGGGTCTGTTGTCACAGACACGAGGCAGAAGGTGCAGAAGGAATAAAGGCACAAAGGTGTCTGTTTTTTGAAGACTTTTTTGTTTGCTTATTTTGAGTAAGCACCTACAGAAGTTAGTCTATAACACGACTCCCTGATTATTTTTCCCGTGTCACCCAGCCTATGTGCCATCTGAAGATGGGCAGAACAGGCTACAGATGTTTCCTTATTTCTCCTTTCAAATGAATAGTCTTCAAAACAAAGTTGCAGGTGGAGAGAGGGTGTCAATTCCAAGTGCAAATGCTTTTGATATTTTCAAATTTTAAATAGGTAGTGAAAACTGCAGCTTAAAATTACATATGAACTGCAGACAGCAAGAACTAAATTTTAGATGTTAGCTCTGAAAGATGAAAACTTCAGCATGTGATGGAACCTGGAACAGTTGGTTGTGTTTCTGGTTCAGATGCAGGAGGCATAATGTGTGAAGCTGAATTCTTCATTCCTTAAAGAGGGTATCATGTTTATCTTCAGGAGGAGAGAGATACTGTGAGATTATATTAAACTAAGAAAAGAAACCTATGAAATGCATACGAAGTTTTTATTAGAGCATTTTAAAGGACTTTCTCTAGCTGTAGCAGAAAGTATGGAGCTTTACTGCATAGATTTCATATTGATGCCAAGCTGATCACTTAATGCCAAATCCCAAATCCATGCTCATGTGTCTGTGTCCCTTCTGGGCTGGATCTGGCTCTCATCTATTGAGATGTGTCTCATCTATTCTAATGTGTGAATAGCACAAGTGCCTACCAGTATACATGTGCTTGTGCTCTGTGTGTGCACATGTGGCCCTTTGATTCCAGGATCTCTCAAACAAAGTTCTTTTAAGGCTTCAGGTGTAGTTATGAGGTGTTTATTTGGTGGGGTTTTTTTAATTATGGCTCTTACTATTGTGTCTGAAATTTTGGGCAAGGTTATTGCTCTGATATTTTGTTGGCCACTGGTTATTTTAATAACACATGCATTGTAGTAAGTTGATGGAATGAAACATCTCAGAAGCATAGAAGAATCATGGCATTGCACATCTGTTGCTGATTCACTGTTGCAATGGAAAAATCCCATTTCTGTTTTCATACTTCTACCTACAATGTGCAAAGAATGCATTATCTTACTTTGATTGCAATTTTGACATTTAAAGAAATGCGTGCTGTAATGAGGCCTCTGTGTTTTGTTCACTATGAGAACATTTCAAGTTTTTGCATAACTAGAATATTGAGACTGTACTTCATAGCGTAGAAGACAACTTAATTTTTGCTTTCATTATAAAACAAACAAACACCAAAATATAAACCCAATCCTAAATAGAAACTCCCACACTCAGATTTTCTAGGTTGTACACAAAGGACAGATATGTAGGAACTTGCGGAATAAAGTAGCTTTATATATTTAAGAAGGAAGAATGTGAAATATTTTATTATTCTTGTTCAGAAAATTTTACAAGATATGAAAATAGTTACAAAGAAAAAAGTACAAATTTTAGTGAAAATGAAGCCTATAACTATTCATAACAAGCCAACTGAGAAAAGATAAAACTCTTACCCTGTTTTGAGAAAGCTGATTGTTCTAGCTGTACTGAATGTGGGAATTATTAAAACAAAATAGGATTCTTGTTAGACTCATTTGCATGTTAAATTTTCTGGCTGTTTTTCCAGCTCCCAGTTATTTCAAAGCAGTCTGAGTGTCCGAGCTCTGGGAACAAACCAAATTACTTACAACATTCTTTGGTGTGCAGATGACCCCTTCCCTAAAAATCTGCTAGTCCAAAGTGGAGCCAGTTGATGATTGTACTCTTTGAAATCCTAAATGGCTCCTGGGAGAGCAACTTTCCTTCATATCAGCTTCAGGAGTACTTGGCTGAAGAGAATATTTGAGAGGGTGCATATAGGCAACGAGCCTTCATTTGCTCAGTGATTAACATTACTTCTTCCCCTGTAGTCAAATTTGAAATGGCATCAATGCATAAAGCAGATCTGAAGTGCTTTAGACCAAATTCAGTAGATTTTTCAAGCTGGCATTAGCCCACATTATTTAACATATACAAAATGCCTGTATGAGGATGGAATTCAGATCAGAAAGTTGGTATTTTAATAGTTAATGCTCTATATGCTGAAAAAACCAAACCAAACAAACCTCAACCAAACCACATGAACACCAATCTCAAACAAACCCCACACAGATCTGTGGGAGGATCAGGGATTTCATCAAGTATTATCTGTGTCAAAATAAATGAGACAACTCATCAGAAGGAAAGTGTCCCTAACAATCCATTAACATTAATGGGCTCCAAATCCTTGGTCAGAGAACAGATCATAAAGCTTCCAGACAGCTGGACAGAATCACCTTGAATATTCAGTAAGAACCGAAGGGGAAAGGTTAGCAAAGGAGCAGAATTAATCACTGTTATGTCTTTATAAATCAGTGTGTCCCAGACTTTTTTGGGTGCTTTGTGTGCAATAGTTAGTTTCTCTTCTCAGGAAAAAAAAAGTATCAGAGCTAGGAAAAGTGAGGGTAAAGGGAAACCAGATGTGCAATGAAATGGCTTCTGCACCAGGAAAAATTAAGCAGTACCAACTCAGTAAAAACTAGAACAAACTTGTGTAAAGTTGGGAATGGGAATTATGAATAGGAGGCAATTGTTCACAGTGTCTTTAAAGATGAGAGCTGAAATATATCAAGTGAAGCTATCAGGCAGCAGGTTTAAAAGGAAGTGGGCTTTCATATCATGTGTAATAAGGTGTGGACCTCACTTGCACAGGATGGTAGTAAAGGTCAAAAATATAAAGGCACTCAAAGAAATAGGAGAAATTCAGAGAACGGTGTGTCAGAGGGTAGGTCAGCAGAGGCTCTGGAAGCAGCCTTTGTCTTGGGATGCCCCAGAAGCTGGAGCAGTACATCAGACTTTGTGGATACATTGGCCCTCTTTCAAAATTCTTGATTTTATTTTTCCCTGGAAAGTTACCCTTGAGGTTTGCTACTTTTCCTGGGAATGCCAGTGCATGGTCTGTTTAATTACATCAGGTCACAGAGACATCTTACTGGGTACATGTTGTGCTCTCCTGACTGCATGAGGGCTGACTGACATGCCCATCTTCCCAGGAAGCCCCAAGGATATCCTGTTTGATTGCATTTTTTTTTTTTTTCCCTCCTGTGAACTTGGCACGGAGTAGTTACAATGACATGAAGCTTTTGCATCGCCAGGCCCAGGAATGGGGTGGGCACCGTAGCACAGGAAAGCTCTTGAGGATCTCATCTTTAAGTGTGGTCAAAAGATGATGTATTTGGCAGGAAACTTCTTTCCCACACTTACTGGGGCACACATCTACTTGTATTCTTCAGTTCTGCAGGGGGCAGGACAGAGAGCTGTTTGTCCTTTCTTGCACTGCCACTTTTCTAAAGTACAAAAAGTACATTCCTGGTAGGTCCATTCAGGCACTTCTCTGTTCTTGCTGTTGTACCCCTGCATTAGGGGAATCAAGAAACATTAGTAGGTGCCTCAAAGAGGCTCCTTCAAGATCTTAAATTTCCTAAATGATAGAAAATTGTTCATGGTTTAAGCATGTAGAAAATAAACTACTTTTTTAATAGCTTTTGCATCCAAGTGCTTTTGTATTTGAAAGGAAAAAAAAGGGACTCTAATATACAAATAAATAGGAAGTGCATAGGAATTATAAAGACAAGGGTATTTAAGTAAACATTGGCTATTTTAAGTAACAGTTTTCAGGTAACAATGTCATGAATTTTACCTTTTTTCCCCCCATTTTTCTAAACCATAGGATGTGGTTTAGGAATATGTGTTTCAAGAAATGTAATGTATAAAGATTTTATGAATTATAAACATCTCTATACTATTATTTATCTGGCTGCATCAATTTATTTTTATGTGTGTGATCCCTCAATACAGTCTATTTCTTTCCTTTCTTCTGCTAGCTAGTTTGATGAATAGGTCAGCCACAACCCTTCATAATAACTTTTTTTAGGCTATCCTACCTTTTCAGGTAGGTTGAGTTGAGGAATTTTCATACACCTAGACTTCTTTCAACTACATGGGCGTGGTGGAATTTAATTTTGAGCCTGTTTAGGTGCCATGGGAGTTCAAAGCAAGTACTGCTATTTCTATTTCCATGTCTAAATCACTTGAACTTGGTGTACAGAGAACTGGAAGCAGGAGGGCTGCGTTCTGGGCTGCTCATATGTTTTTTCCTAGGATAGTGCTGAGAAGCAGAAGCTGAATGAAGCTACTGTGTAGTACATAGCTGGCCTGTAAGGCTGACGGGAGCAGGAGCATTGGATAATATGTTCATTTAAACAATGCTAATAATCAGCATCCATTCTTGGGATGTGCAATTTGGAATGTACAATGAGTTGCAAGTGAGCCTTGATAACTGGGAAACAGTTTGCTTAATTATGTTGTTCTTAGTCAATGTGTTATTAAAACAATGAAATAGCCAAATGATTGTTTAATGTTTGATGATGTCAGTATTTTCTAGTCTCCCAGATAATTTAATAGTCTGGATATATGTATTTGGACGGAAAAAAGAAGTAACTTTAGTATATATGTGGATAGGAAGTGGATAAGTATTCTAAAGGCAAGGTTATTTAAAAAAAAAGAAAACCACACTGCAACACCTCCCCCCACCCCAAAAGAAATCCAAAATAAGCCAAAACAAAACAAGAAAAGGAAACCAAAACCAAACCAAACCACAACTGCTTCATTTCTTGCACAACAATAAAAAAATTAGGATATGTAATCAGGGGGCTTATTGGAACATGTTATTTGTTGTACCTTTGCATTATTTTTGTAGTTGTAAAGAATCTTCCATTGCCAAAGCAGCAGTTTTCCTATTGATTTCCAGATACTGAGAGTGGCCAGGTCTTGCCTGGTGACTAATCTCAAACCTTGAAGTGACCTTGGTCAAAAAGGAATGAATAGTTGCAAGTGCTGACTCAGGCTGCCATGTTCAAGTAACAACTTATGGACTTCTGCCTGCTTTTGATTAAAACAACAGATTTATGTTTTTAGCTGTATTACCACTGCTGTCAATATCTTTGTTCTTTCTGTGGCCAGAAAGCAGGTTAAATAAGTCTTTAAATAAGGCAGAACCTCTGTTTCAAAGGCTTACTTAAGAAATTGATTGCAGTTTGAAAATATAAAGATTGATATATAAATGTAAATACCCTGAAACAAATGTTAACATCCAGATGTTCTCATGTCCAATTTCACAAATTTGAACTAAAACCTGAGATTTTTTCCATCATCTGTTAAGAATTTTCTTAATGTAGAAGAACTATTTCTTCACTGTATAAAGAAATCTTTGCTTCTGTGTTTGCAGATGCTGTGAAGCCACCAGTTAGTTCTTTACAACCATCTGCTGAGTTACCCTTGCCCATCAACACTTCACTGCCTTCCACGCAAGCAGAATCTTCCCTTCCTTCTCCTTATCGGCTTATTAACGTCCCCCCTCTGGAGTCTTCCTCTGGTCAAGAAGATCCTCAAGACTACTTACTGCTAATAAACTGTCAAAGTAAAAAACCTGAACCTATGAGGTAAGTGACTTTTGTTTCTTAATAACACTTATTTGTATTACAGGCCAAGAGTGTTTGTGCTGAATGCATTTTTTTTATTGCCAAGACATTGAGCATTTGGGTGCACGTATCTACACAGGGAAGCTGCCTGTAACTTTTCCTTCTTTTCATTCCATGCATTAAACCTTTTGCTGCAATCGTTAGTTATTTGATCAGTGTTATATTGCATTCTTCAGAAGTGTTGACAGCAATTGCCAACATGAAGTATCACAGTGATGCAGCAATTCAAACATTCCATTGGAGCTTGGAGTGATGCATGGTGCAAAATACCCATTCTTTAGCCACAATCTGGTGTGCTTAGTCCTGTTTAGTACTAGAAAAAGCTGGAGGAATTTAGCCTTTCTCCCTCCTGGCATTTGGTTCCCCAGTTTTGCCAGTTAAAGTTTTCATGGAAGGGATTTAGAAAACATGCTGACCTGCCAGGTTACCACATCACTGAGTACAGTGATCTGCAAGTGGTATTTGTTTACTATTACTACCATGGTTAAGACCCTTAAACAAGAAGAAAAAACATGTTATTTTATGACAACTAAGAATGCAGAGGCTGAAACCACTCAGTTTCCATATCCTGAATTTCAGTTTTTCCAAATAACAGATACTTAAAAGGAAACTCAAATAAGCTTTATTTTTTACTGAATAAAGAGTGCCTACACATTCAGTTCTCTAGAGAAGTGTGCAATAGGAAATTTGAAGGAAAATTTTGGAGGAAAATTTTGGGACTTCTACAGAAGTAAATCTCTATTTATTTCTCCAGCTGCTACTTCTAATTTAAATAAATCCACAGCACCTCCTGCATAGGAGGATATGATATTCATAGTAGCTACCTGGGAAATATCACTATGGTTTGCCAGAATGGATCATGGTGGCCTTTCTTAGAGCAGGCTGCCCAGATACATACTGAAGTGTCTTTCCTCCTTAAAAAAAAATATTTAAGAGAACCAAAAATGAACTTGACTGGACAAGCTCCTGAAGAGCCTCACCTGATTTTGAAGGGTTTTCTTAGAGGTATTAGAAAAGCTGAGCAGATAATGTCCAGAGGTCCCTTCTGACCTTGAACATTCTGTAGGAGAACCTTATAAATCCCTCTGACAAGCTTCTATTCTGCAGTAATTTAAAATAAAATTTGCTGGACTATTTGCAGAAAAATTAACAAAACATCATATTATTTTTGTGATAATAATTACAAATTAACGAAACATCATATTATTTTTGTGACAAGTACATGGAAGATTGAGGAAAGCTTCCTTTGAGAGTGTTTTCATAACTATTTCACATGCATCCTTAGGGCCATACCTTCTAGTGGCAGTGCCTTCTGCATCAACACCTTGATGCTCCCCCAGTTTTACCCATGCCATGTGCTCTGTGCTCCCTTGACATTTTTATCTTGCTCTGTTATGCCTGAGGAGTTTCCTGCTCCATTTACTGATGATTATGTGGTAGAAAAGTATCCACCCTTTACAGTCTTCCTTATAAAACAAGGGAATGAGCCTACAGTTCCCCCAGAGTGTGGAATGTGTAGGTTACAGGCAGCATGGACTGTCCCAGAACCTCCTGCACGGGAAGGGGAAACACAGTGTTTAGTGATGTTTAGAAGCTTATAGTGCTGAAGGGGAATGTTCAGTGTTCCTGCCAAAAGCTTTTAAGTTTGATATCACTTCCAGAACAGCTTGGCAGAGGAATTGACTTGGATTTCAGCAACCCTGGCCTATCAGAAATGTGTCTGAGTGCCCATTTGCTTCTGTGAGGGACAGACTCAAAGTGTAGTTTTACCACCACAACATGAAGGTGTTTTTAGGAATTATGAAGGTTGAGATGTGCAATTGACTTTCTGACCTGACTTCCACAGTTATGTGATGTGTGGGTTAAGTAGAGGCCGAGGAGACCATAGAAGGGGCCACAAAATAGAAGGGCAAAGTAGAGAGTCCATGATTAGCCTGCAAAATTTCTCAAGGATGACACTGGTGACACAGGGGAGAAGGTACTGGGGAAGGCAAAAGGCCTGGTGGCAATAAAATGCCTAGTGAACTGAAAGAATGGAACAAAATCTTTGGGAGTGTACAGATTGTTTAAATAAATTATGGTGTTGTAGGAATATCTGAAGACATTGACACTTGGATATTATATGAGCTTAGTTTATTTTCTGTAACTAAATAGCTGTGTCCTTTCATTAAAAAGGCTGTGATCTTGAAAATTCAGAATAACAGTTGTGCTGGACTTTTAGTTCCACCTAAAAGGGCTACCTATGTTTTATGTCTGGTAAAGTAGGTAAACTGCTGTATTTGAGACAGAGTATAGAGCATATTGACGTTTACCTATGGAATGAGAGGTTTGTGCATCTCCGTAGCCCATTACTGTGATTAGTAGGAGTGCACTCTACCCCAATCCATATCCTTAGAGGCAAAGAAAGAAAATTAAATGGCTGCATAATTTTCCTATTTTCCAGGCTTGGAACAATTTATCTGTGTATTTCATACAGACTTAGTATAAAGTGCAAGGCTTAATAGCTGTAATTAAACAGGCAGGTACTGTTAGTTAAATGTTTTCCCTTTAGACTTAAAAATTACCAGTATGCAGAGGGAACATTTTTCGTTTTGATCCTGCATGTTACTTTACAGGTAATCTGGGAACCACCGAATTTTATTTCAAGGCTTTGAGGTTCTTTTCTGGATGAGATGGGTCTCTCTGAAACATAGATGTATCTGAGTCACTTCTTTGGGATTTTTGAGAATTCTAGTGTTTCAGACCTAGAAAAGAATTACTAAATGTTCCATTACAGTGTCATAAACTGCACCACATGCTGTTGTGAGAATGTCTTGTATGCAGCAATTGCAGTTGTAACTATCACATGCAGTATTTTTTCTAAAATAGTTTCATGCTCTGATCACTGCTGACTTAAGAAAAAGCATTGTTTCACTGTAGCATTTAGGGAGATTTTAAGGTTGTATTTGGATCCTAGATAGGAAAATGCAGCCAAACATTACTTCCAAATCCCTTATTGTTTTGGCTCATTTGATAGGTGTATCAAAATAATAAATGCTGTCTTCCTCATCTTTTATATTGTGTATGAACCAGCCAAGGATCACCTTTTCTCTCAGAAGAAGGGCAGGAATACCTGCTATTAGAAGACTTTGAAAGTAAAAAGATTCCATTGCAGTGAGTGAACAGTAGCCATTCTTGGAACACGTGTGAGAAATTAATCACAGAGCCATTAACTTGCCTGAAAATATTGTTTGTTTGAGACTCATCTTGCATGGTGTTTTGTGAGTTTTAACAGAAAAACTATATAACTTTTGCTTCCATTTTCTGAAAAGAGGTCTGGATGTTATTTATTTTTATGTCCATCCTGTTTCTTCTATGCTTGCTGTTGCTGTCCCAGCTTGCTGGCACACAAAAGCAATTTTGTTGCCATTTTGTTTATAATATTCTGTTTAATCAGTCATATTGATTCCTGTAGATGGGAAAAGAATCAGCTGAAAAAAATGAGTGGTCAAGCCAGCCCAAATACTTTATTTGCAAAAATGAGATGATTACCCCTCAGACTAAAACACTTGATAAACCTTTTTCCTGGGCCTGTAAGGAAATGGCCAGTCCTAGCACTGAGAAAGGGGTAGTTTGGCCACTTAGCATAATTTGCACATATGTGATACACACATATGATAACACTGAATTCATATAATAGTCATCCTCTGCTAATAAAGTGAGGAGTTATTGTGTTACATCCAGCTTTGCCATTATTTTAAATGGATGTGTAAAAACCCTTTAATAATTATCATAATAGCAGTTTGCTACTGGAATATTTAAGCCAATTCAATTTTTTATTGAGCTGTACTAAAGGGGAAAAATTATGATTCCTGAAGTATAGAAGTCATAAAAAACAGGAGTACAGTCTGATCCTGTCAGCTATGCACTGTACATTTTCAGAATTATATATGGTGTTCTTATCATGATCAGTGGTTAATGCTGACTTTTAAAAATAGTTAAAATTCTGAGGCTGAATTCTCTGGCTTCATTTTGGCATAAACTGCTTTCTTTGTTTCAGAGTGTCTTCAAACTTTCAGTTGTGCAAAATCAGATTGCTTACAACCCATTCATATTTTGAAAACTATTTCAGTAGACTAAGATGTTGATTCCAAAAGATTACTTTCAAAATTGTGAATTAAATCAGAAATGCCCTCTTGTAATAAGAAATGTAAGCTGTTGCCAAGAACTAAGCAAATGACAGACCTGGCTGCCTCATATATCATGGGTTTTGAAAGCCTTCTGTTTGCACTAGTGCTTGGAGTGAAAAAGAAGAAGCATAATTGACTTAGACCCAGAAAAACTCTTATATTTAAAAAGGATAACATTTGTTTCTTGCATTTCTTGGGTAATCCTTAGGCTCTGGCATTGTAAATATGCTGTTGTTTCTTTCTGAGCTTTGGTTATATATTCCTGCATGTTTCTGTAAGATAAATGTAGTGGGTTTGTTTTATTCCTGTAGTTTTAGGTTGTTTGTTTTTTTTTTTCTTTTAAAGTATATCCTAGTGAACTGGAACTAATAACTTTGATTCTGCAATTGATTTTCAGTGTCCAGCTTCTGTAGACTGCCCACTTTATTTTTATAGTATAAAAATTAGAGACTCCAATTCTTGCTATATTTGAAAAATATTTGACTTTTTCTGGGATTTTGGTCTAAATGGATATCATAGAACTAGGAGAGTACATCTAAAAAGTGAGGAACTCCCGAATAAATGCTTTGCATAAAGAGGAAGGGCTGCAGCAGGGGCTGAGCTCAGTGTGCATCTATTATGCACTCTTTAAACTTTAAGCTGTGCTTCCTTCAGTCCTGTGTGCTCTATATTTTGCAAGTGTTTTAAAGTTCTAGTGGTTCATGCATGAAATTTTAAAGTTCTGATGCAAAGAGCTCTGAGGCAACTGTTAAGAAACAAGAGAACTATGTATTCATGGTCAGCATCATGAGGAATGTAGAAAGTTTTATGTCCTTGGTTGTGTGAAGAACAAATAATGAGAAAATCATCTTCTTTTGAGGGGGGTCGATTAAACTAAATGCAGATTAAAGTTCAGAGTTACCTAGAAACCAGTTCTGACCAGTGACAGAACTGAAATCTATGTTTAGTAACCAGAGCAAAACTACTATACTTTTTCTAATGGGAAAAAATGCTAAAACAATAAGAATAAGCTGATAGGAAACAGTGATGAAATTGAAATGAGAACTGTTATAAGACAGGTGTCCTGATGGAAGATTGTATCTTTGCTGTTAAACAGAACAAAAACAGTTGGTGAGGTGAATGACATTTCTCTTGAGTGCAGATGTCCATTCCAAGCTGATTATGTTGGTTCCCTGATAGCTGGCAGAGAGGCACTTCAGGGATGATTCATCAGGTTTAGATAGATATCTAAGACCAGATTGTGTTTCACACAGTCTCCATTCTTCTGATGACTGGAGAGGGAACCTAAATTAATAGCTTAACTGAATTCCTTTTTCCTCAGGTTGCCAGAACTCTGGGAGATAAATCCAGCTGGCCCTTAAGAAAATTTTTACAAACTTATTGACAAATGAAATGTGAATAATAAATATTGGTTGTGATCACTTTGAGATGCAGAGCCTGTTAAATAAGGAGGAAAATGCTTCTTGTGATAGTGGGTGTACTTTATGTATTTTATTCCTCAAAACTTTTGGAACTGTGTAGTCCAATTGCTTAATAGAGCTTACTAAGGTATTGCAGGTATTCATTGATACACGTGTGCTGAAATATTTACATATGCATGCATAAATGAACACAATGGTATGGTATTGAGGTAATGAAAATAGGAAATATGGTATGTTTGATCAAAAAGTGTATGAACTTCCTTAACTGCACCACTAACATTGCTAGTGTTATTATTTTGCCACTGTTTGGACTTTCATTTAAGCAAGGAGCCAGACTGATAACAGAATTTCTCTGCCTGAAGCACAGTAAATGGAGAGGTTTAGAAAGGAAATAAATTTATTGTAATGTGGTTACTTTCCATGTAAGTTTACTGGTAGTGTTTAATATTAGTACTAATGAGTGCTGTTCTCATAGAAGAATTTCTTAAGAAATCAGAAGTGAACTGCTTTGCAGCTTTATCTAACAACACCACCTTCATTTGCATTCAAGACAAAAGTTCTATGTTGCACATGCAACCTAGGGATTTTTTTCCCTCAAAGACCATACTATTTTCCTCCTATTTATGATTTTATCTCTTATTTCTCTTTTTCTCACATATTTCAAATGGGTTTTATATGATTAATATAACTTCAGACATGCATTTAGGGGGGTTACAAGCAGTCATAATTTTTCTCTTAACATTTTTTTCATTATTAGAATGAGTAAGTACTGTAAGTCCAAGAATTGAGCATCTTATTTTTTACCTTTAACAGTGCCAATAAAGTGTTACTAGTTTGCAGCATGGGTTTAAAGAAATGATTTAAAAACCTCCAGCCCCCAAACTTGGCTTCAAACTGGCATCCTGAAAATCACTAGCTTTATGAAACATCAACCTGTTGTGAAGCTGTTGGTAAAGCTCCACAGTTGTGCTATATATTTCACATGCATGAATTTGTATGAATGTAGTTACTTAGGATGCCTAGGTACTCCTGTTTGTTTAATAATTGAGTTCCTGCATCTCATTTAAAAAAATGAAAATAAAAAAATTGGAAGACACTGGTAGATTTTTCAGTTGGTTACATGATAAGCATAGTGTTTATGATTTGCAATGTTTGTTTTTCTCCGTGTGTTCATCAATGTTCTAATCTCACAATCTCACATGTAGATCTCATGCTGACTTTGCAAAATCCAGCTCTTCAGAAACAGACTGCAACGATAACCTGCCCTCCCACAAAAACCCTGCTGCAGCAGGGAGCAAGCACGCTGTGAACGGCTTCTTCCCGCAGCAGGGTGTCTACGATTCCCCACCTGCCCGCTCCGCGCTGACGCTGGCAGACTCCAGCCTCTACAACCTGCCTAGGAGTTACTCCCAGGATGTTTTGCCCAAGGCAGTGTCTCCATCTGGAACTGATGCCGAAGGAGAGCAACATGTTTTCAATACCCCATCAGCAACGTCATTAGACACACAGATGAGGCACATCTCCATTAGCTATGACTTTCCCCCCACACCTGGAGGTACTTATCAGATCCCACGAACTTTCCCAGAGGGAACACTGTCTCAGACTTCAAAACTGGAGACTATTCCAGACATCCCTCCACCTCGGCCGCCCAAACCTCACCAGGCAGCAGATCGATCTCCTGTGGAAACCTGTAGCATCAGTCGCACTGCTTCAGACACTGACAGCAGTTACTGCATTCCTGCCGCAGGAGTGCCGCCCTCACGCAGTAACACCATTTCAACGGGAGATCTGAATGTCTTCAGGAAAGGTCAGTATTCCATCTGTTAGCCTGCAGAATTTTTGTCTTGAGCTTTGTGATCTGAATGATACAAATGGGCTGAATAACGTGAGGGGCATTTCTAGCCCATAGGAGCAAGTGTTTAGCCCCTCACAAAGTGGTCTGCGTTCACTATGTTTAAAATATATTAGAAAGAGGAACAGAGATTTTTAAAGGAAACCATCAAAACAACAAAGCACAGAATATCCGTAAGGGATGTATACTGCACTGTGGCATTCAGCCTTGGCTAAAAATATTTGAAGATCTAGACATGTTCGTTTGGTAATAAGCTCATATAACTGAATGCAATACTACCATTATCAGTCTTTCAGAATTACCAAAGTGAGCTTAGTGAAGTGTGGTGCAATCTACAGAAGCTGAAATTGTTTCATGAAGATCAGTGGGATATGGTGTATACCCAGAGCTTTGAGATCAACCCTGATTTGATGATCATTGCCACCAGCCTTTCTTTCTGTCCATGTGACAGATATGCTTACTGCAGTCTTTTAGTAAAATTAAAGTTGTTCCTTGTGGCCACCTAAATGTTGGTACTCCAGATGCGCTGTTGTGTGTATTGTCTTGTTAACCACTCTTGGGCTAAGGGTTTCAGTTTCTTTCAGATTTCTGAAGCAGGTGGTTATTACAGTATTGTTTTGAAAGCAAAATTTTTTATTGGTTTAAGTCAATATTTATGTTACAGATTATTTTAAAGGAGAATTGTTTGAAATGAGGGATGAATACAAGGCTTTTAGGGGAGGCAGTATACAGAATGGATGGGATCATACAGATGCTCAGATACTATTGTTATTCATTTTCTAGACTGAGCATAAAATATTGATGGTTGTCAGTGTTTTAAAATTACAAGTGAACACTATGAAAGATCCTTGTTTGCTCTGCTTATTTTCCCTCGTGTAGTATTTTTCCCATGCAAAACCACCACTCATTTTACTAAGTTTATAGGTGAGTATTCCTGTACTGAATCTGAGATTGTCTGCCTCGAGAAAATGAGTCTTTCTGAAAACATTGTTTAATGTTGGTACTTAAGAGCAGAATTGTTTATCTTTCCTCTGTAATGAAAATCTTAAAAATCTTCAAAGGCTTTTTTCAGGGCAAGGTGGGGATAAACCCCAGAGTTTGACCAGTTTCTGTGCTGGCATCATGAGGAGGGGCATCCCTGCCACAGGGTAAGGCTGTGCATGCATGGATAAGCAGCAGATAACCTGCTGCATGCATGGATGAGGAGCACCTGAGAGCCAGGAGTCTTGCAAAGAACCAGCCACAGAGCCAAGGACCTGCTTAGTGGGGACTGCCAAGAGCCAGGACTCCGAAAAGGGAGAGATCTTTGGTTTTGCAGCAGTCCACTCCAACAGAAAGCCCCTGGAGACCACACTGGGAAGCTGAGAGAAGGGTTGCACCTGTTCCTGTAACAGATGGGATCCTGTTGAATCAGCACTTTCCAAGCAAAGGGCATCAGTCAGAAAACCTTTCTCCAGATGTTAAACTACATCTGTTGTTTGTTTGCTTTAGAACAGGTTTTTTATGAGAGCCCAGATTCTCACTCATTGCACTAAGTTCTTACACATGCTCAATTGAAAAATAGACTCTGCTGCTTCTTTAAAAGCAAAAATTAATTTCTCTTTTCTTGCCATGGAAAAATGCCACTGTGAGTGCTTCAAGTTGTAACTGATGAGTGCTAAGGTTGTTTGTGAACGCAATCCTTTCAAATATAGATAAATCTAGGGGTTGCAGCTTCAAGTGGTGTGTTTGTGTACTCTCAGAAGCAGACAGTAAATAACAATAGACTCTGGATGCCTGTGCCAGGTGACAGGAACAAGGGTGATAAATAGCCACTTTCTCTTCTTGTTTCTTTAGAAATTAGTTCTCAAGACTGTTATGATATTCCACGAACGTTTCCGAATGACAGATCTAATTCATTGGAGGGCTTCCATAACCACTTCGTAAGTATAACTTGATCTGATGAGAGGCAACAGTGACAGTGCTTGAATGCTCTTTGTTCCTGTGTAAGAAAGCAAACTGTGCTGTGTTTGTGATTTTTCACTTTCAATAGAACACATTAATCTGAATAGATTAGGTTAAAAGGCTCATATGATTCACAGCTGATTGCATAACTTATTTTGTTAAAGGAAATATATGTTAATTCTAGAAACACAGAAGCATGTTGACAGTGGGAAGTGTTTCAAGTGAAGAACTAGATGAAAATTATGTCCCAATGAATCCCAACTCTCCTCCACGACAGCATTCCAGTAGCTTCACTGAACCCATCCAGGAAACAAACTATGTACCAATGATACCTGGCACATTTGATTTTCCATTGTTTGGAAAGCAAGTCCCTCCTCCTGCTCACATGGGTTTCAAGTCCAGCCCAAAGACCCCTCCCAGACGGTCGGTACCTGCTGCAGAATGTGAGCCACCGCCAGTGGACCGGAACCTCAAACCAGACAGAAAAGGTGAGGAAAACCTCCAAGAAAACCTAATTTTTATCATGTAGGAAAATAACATCGCTCTCTCAGCTTCTGCTTAGAGGAAAATTAATCATGTTTTTAGAAATCATTTTAGAAATAATTTTTGTCCTATGAGTTAACCAAATCACTGAGGAGCCATAGGATTATTTTTAACATTATTAAAACATCAAAATAACAATGCCAAATAAAAGGATAGGTTTAGATTTTATTGCCATACTTACTAATGAAAAAATCACACTGAATTCCTAAGATTAAGAAGTGTGTCCTTGTATATAGAAGACACTTGTGATGCAGGAAGAAAACACAAGGCATTGGGTAGAACACAAATTTATAGCCATAACAATGCTTGGTACATGATCAGCATACATACTCATTTTAGAGGGCCCCTTTGAATCTATCCTAAAAAGTTAGTCTCTTAAATCTGGCACATAATGTGTTTATTTTTCCTTAAAATATGTGTTATTTGGGTGACCAGAGTTCTTAAGGAACCAAGATGATTAGGTTGCAATGTGTCTATAAGAGATACTCATATAGAGAATCCTTAATAAATAGCTTGTATTTTCCAGTTTATCTAAAATGTTTTATCAGCCATCTTACTAGAGATACAGGCAAATGGTTAAAGAACTTGCTTCCCTACTAAGTTTTTGAGACAAGATTACTAACTTTCTTGTAGAAGATGGAACTAAACAGCATCAGGTCAAATGTCTGCCCTATTTTGCATTTGAGGAAGTCCTATTTTTAATCTTATGTACTTGAAAATATTAGTATTTACATTGAGAATGGCTGACTTCATTGTAGGAAAGTGTATTGGCTAATATTCAGATGATCCAAAATACTCTCTAACTAAACCTTTAAATTAGTATTTTTACCACTATGTGCAAACCGTCTGTAAGGGAAGTAGAGAGTAGCACTGTGATAAATGAGCTGTGTGCAATGGAGAGCACCATGTCACATTCCGCCTGCCCATCTTCAAAAATTGAGGCATTGCCTTTTTTAAGCATTGCCTTCTTGGCCCTCTGCTTATGTCTAGTTGTTTCTGTGTTATCAGCCAGCAGTTTTGTTTGGTTCTTAAGAAATACTGGACAGGAAGAGATAGATGAAAGTTGATACTAGAAAACATTCTGAATTCAGTTCAGAATAAACTGAACTGAACTGAACCAATTTAAAATATTTTCCCAGACTGGCCAGTTTGTGTATTTTACTGATAAAATGTTTGACCTTCAACAGTAATAAATGTATGTGTTGAAAAGCATCTCACTTTTGCTGTTGGCAGCGCAAAACTGCCATACAGATGTTTGCTGGGGCAGCATCATCGCTCTTGAATCTCTCTTTTTGGAACAGAATTAGTGTTTTACATTTAGAAAGTGGCAAGCAAGAACCTGCTTTGCTCCCATCCTCAAATGCCTTATAGCTAGAAAGATGTAGCTAAGACCAGGGGAAGGAGTTTAAGATGTGTTAACATACCTCTTAATGAATGTAGAGTTACTGGATGAAATTTTTGCCTGTAGACTTTTGGAAGATATTATCACTGTAAAATAATAGGATTGTGACTTGGTTTGAAAAGATAGGTGTCTGCTAAGGAAGGCAGTAGCCTCCCCTGAAATGGAAAATGTAAACCCCCTCCCTCCAAATAGTTATAATTTTGAAATTAAGGGGGCTCTCAGGCAAAGATATGGGAGTAGGAATAACAGTTCTTTACTAGGAAAGAAAATAAAAGTAAAATAAACAACGCAGTAATGCAAAACCCCACTGACAGAGTCAGAATACAACCTGACAGCCTGTGGGTCAGGGTGTTGGCAGCAGTCCAGTTGAAATGGTGGCTGCAGTGCTCCTGCAGTGACAGGTGTGGTTCTGTTGAAGCAGTGATCCAGTAGAAGGGCGTAACCTTACTCTGAAGATCTAGCGGTGATATAGATTGGCCTGGTCTTCCTCTGGGAATCCAGTGAAAAGCAAAGTTGCTTCTCTGGGATTCCAGTGGAAAAGGCTGTGGTCTTCCAGAGCTCTGATGATATCCAGTTAGGAATGCTTGGCTCCTCCCTCTGGGCAGAGCTTCTCCAGTGGGATGATGTAATTTTATTAGTCAAGCTGTGGCACTCAATCGCCCATTAACAGAAGATACCTCTCCAGACGGAGTATGGGTTGTGGAAGGGATACAGAAAACTTCCCAATTAACAGAAGATAACTGTCCGGTCAGATAAGAATAGAATCCACCCCTCATTTCCAACCTAAGACAGATTGTTTAATGTAATTCACAAACTAAAGTGATTTTAAAGTAAAACTATCTTTAAAAGTAAATATGGTATAGTAAATAGGGGCTGAAAAAAGTTTTATTAATATCTTGAGGTGCCAAGCATGGTAATGATTCTGATTTACCACTGAGGGTTTTATCTTAGTAGCGCACACACAGAGACTGCCTCGCTCTAATTTTATCAAATGCACCACTGCAAGTTTTCCATTGTTGTGAAGAACAGATCTGATGGCACATTGGAATGGTGCTATAGTCCCATTTCAGTAATTGAGATCTCTACACTCCTTCAATATATACCTTTGGGAAAATAAAACTGCAGGTTTCTTTGAATTCAGTTATGTAAAGCCCTTGTTTAAGTGGACCTTTACCTAACTAAAACAATGGTGTGCTTTATATTATTCTGTGTTGCTTTTTCAGCTTTCAAGTTCTTGTAGCAGCTTCTGTTATCAGGTTGTTTCTGTTTATGTAAATGTACTGCAATGCTCTTCTACAAATTAGTGCAAAGTAGTGTCAAGCAGGCCTGTGTGTTCAATAAATCTTTGTCAGACACAGAAGGGGAGGAAATGGAACATAAAATACTTACCTTCGGGCTATTGCTCCTATGAATGTTGAGGGGATTTTATATGCCATTGGTTCAAGAACTTCTGTTTAAGACCACTGGTGCTTCTCCAAAAGATGGTCTTGAAAATACTGCAGAAATCAGATGTTTTGGGGGTAAGGGATTATGAGGGCACATTTCATGTTCTGTCAGAAGAAGCTGCTGTCTTTTTTTTAATTAGTTACAGCTTGCTGCAAAAACAGTGTTTGCATTGCCTCCAAGCTTTTTGTAAGTTATTAGAAATACCACCATCACCTTTCACATGAGATTAGCTTTAGGTTAGTTATATTTCTGTGGGCCAAGGAGGTTTGTTATATCCAGTGCTAAAAATGCATTTGACAAAGGGATAATGCAGCAAAACCAGCACATAAAGGAAGGATAGGCTGTTTTTTGTTGTTAAATATATGTGTTTAGCATCTCTTTTCCTTTATTTTAAGGGCTTGCTGCTTACGGCCTTAGACTCTTTGATCTCCCCAGTCTGTTTCTTTTTCCACTGATCTCTAGACCTTTGTTTCAGAGAGTGGGTTAAAAAATAATAGTGAATAAAAGTATCTATAGCCTTGGGATTACAATACAGATTTGTGTAGTTTCATTTCTCTAGCTCGCAGCTGCTTCTGTAAATATGGGGAGCTTCCAATACTTTCTGCAAGTCTTGAAAGGAATTTCAAAACATGGTGCTGGCTCTCTTCCCCAATAACTTGAATCCTTGAATCAAAACACTTTACTTGTTCTTTAGAGAATAGCAAAAGGTAAGTGATGTATTGCTTGGGACAAAATGGAGAGTGTTTGGCAGGTGCTTTTCGGCATTCACGTAACTGAATGACAAAAATAATCTCTTTTTTAATTTTTTTTTTTTTCAGAGTACTGTTTCTTTAGTTATGTAGGACCATTGGCTATATTGATTTTTGTATTTCTGCTTTTTGGCTGCTTTAGCTTGCCACAATTGCATGTAGTCCTGATGCTAAATTGGAAGTGTATTTGCTGGTAAAAGGCTTCAAGCAGAAAAAATATTGCATCCACCCATGGAGATGGATCTTGCTCTCTGAATTATTGAAATACAATGACTGGTTCTGCCACAGAGCAAAAATAACATTTGTCGCAATGTTGACATGCCTTCTTCAAAATACTGTTTGTCCAAGAAGGAGCAGTAGAATTAAAGATGCCCAGATGTTGTGAGATGAAGGAGGACTCCTAGACAGATTAGGCAGCAAAGAACAACCAGGTTCTCTTTTCAAGGGAAAAGTTTGTGGTCAAAACTAAAATTAAAAATATGTGAATTGTTTTTTATGGGTCAGGAGGAAGCATTTGAGTGGTGCAGCATTTGAGAGATGGGGGTCTCTGTGAACCTCTGGGTGTGACAGCAACCCCCTCCTGCCCTGGGATTTATTTTCATGGCTAGGGCAGAAGGGTATCTCATGTTAAAACAAGACTTTAAGACCAAACAACTACAAAAACAGACGTTTGTTGTTTGTTTTTTTTTTTTTAATTAACAGTTTAGGAGCTGTCCAGAGCAAGTCCTTATAGCTGTGTAACATCACCCCATCTGTAAGGCTGAAATCTCTTAAGAAATATGTGCTTGTCATCTTGACTGATAAAATGCAGTTTTTCAATATCTGAATCAGAGTGTAAAGTCAGCAATGGAATTGGTGATAGTGGAGTTTACTTCCTCAAAATCTTGGCTTGACGCCCAGCTTACATTTAATTGGTAAATTCTTTTTTCTGTGTTATCACATTTCTACCAAAGTGGGCTTTTTGAGATTCTGAAAAGAAATATATGAACACTGGGCATATGGCTGAACTAACAATGGCCATGATAAAATGAAACTCAAAAGTTAAATCTTATTCATTTGAATATAGTATATGAATGTAATATATGAATGAATGAATATAAATGTCATTTTTGTAAAATTTTTGATCAATAATACTTAAAAGCGTTTTCTGAGAGAGGTCCTAGTTCCGGGTCATGAGGAGCTGAGATGGAACAATGCCCTCAGGATCACTCAGCAAATTGCTGATAGAGACACTACCAAATTTAGAATTCCCAGCTTGCAACACAGGATTGGACTTTGCTTAATTTGTATTAAATAGAAACTCTATTTGTCCAAATATTGTTAGGGTTTAACTGCATTCAAGATTATT